TACAAATAATCTAAAGATTTTAAGTTACTGGAAAACACATGATTCATGGAAGTATAATTAGACGTATATTATAGCAATACATGTACTTTAGTAATATTGGGTATTGAGAATGAAAATACTATGCTATATGTGTCTTTATTAGGAATATGATAGTGATACACAGTTATTATTATTTAGAAAGTTACGATCTTGATTTTATCTACAAAGACATGACTGTAGCTGAGCAAGTAGATCTTTCTCATTGGTTTACATTGTTTATTGGATCAACACTTGTACATATTTTATTCATTTATTATTGTCATATATATGTAAATATTATGTTCAAGTCATTATGATGTAACATGGATATGGATATCAATACATAGCTGAAACAGAGGGAGTTTGAAGGGATAGAAACTCGACCTTCTAAGAACTCTCATATAATAGAAAGTTGTGACTACATCTTGTTCTGTGTTCAATGACTGTGATACGGGTGATGTATGAATGGACAAGTTAGTGACATTGTGTTATGGTTTTAAAACAAACCATAAACAGAGGGAATGTAGAATATTGCATATTCTATGTTTCTATTGATTATATATGGATGTGTGTATTGACATAAGTAACAGATAGTATAAGTCACAAGGCTTTCTTTGTCTGAGAGCTCTGGAATGTGGATTTGGGGGTTTTGTCTGACGTCATTATGGGCACTTCTATATGGTAACTGAACAAAGAGACACAAGGTCTCTTGGCTCTCTTTCCTGTACAAGATGTAACTCTCCCATAAGAAGTCCGGCAATTACTATCTGCTGTTGAACATTCATTATCCTGTAACATCCTTTGTTGTTTTATTATGTATCAGTAACTAAGAATAAACCTGAAGAAACCGTAAGTCAGATTGCGTATTCGTACTTTTCATTAATATAGACATATATTAATGTAGCGAGCAGATTTGGCCCAAGACTATATATACAAAAGACGTGTATCTATCAATCAACTGAAGACAAGAAGAAATTAAGATTTAACATTAACATTGACGATTTCAAGCTACATTTTGTTTGTCTGTCTGTAACAGTGTGGGTAGCAGTATATATGTCTGACTGTCTGTAACAGTGTGGGTAGTAGTATATGTGTCTGTCTGTTTGTAACACTGTGGGTAGCAGTATATGTGTCTGTAACAGTGTGGGTAACAGTATGTCTGTCTGTCTGTAACAGTGTGGGTAGCAGTATATGTGTCTGTCTGTCTGTAACAGTGTGGGTAACAGTATGTGTGTGTGTCTGTCTGTAACAGTGTGGATAGCAGTATATGTGTCTGTCTGTCTGTAACAGTGTGGGTAACAGTATGTGTGTCTGTCTGTCTGTAACAGTGTGGATAGCAGTATATGTGTCTGTCTGTCTGTAACAGTGTGGGTAGCAGTATATGTGTCTGTCTGTAACAGTGTGTGTAACAGTATGTGTGTCTGTCTGTAACAGTGTGGGTAGCAGTGTGGGTAACAGTATGTGTGTCTGTCTGTTTGTAACAGTGTGGGTAGCAGTATATGTGTCTGTCTGTCTGTAACAGTGTGTGGGCACAGCATGTGTGTCCGTCCGTCTGTACAGTGTGGGTACAGTATGTGTGTCTGTCTGTCTGTAACAATGTGGTAGCAGTATATGTGTCTTCGTCTGTACAGTGTGTGTAACAGTATGTGTGTCTGTCTGTAACAGTGTGGTGGCAGGTACAGTATGTGTGTGTCTGTCTGTTTGTACCAGTGGGTAACAGTATGTGTGTCTGTCTGTCTGTAACAGTGTGGGTAGCAGTATATGTAGTATTGTTTATATAGAAAATGTAAAGTAAATAATGTGTGTAGTAGTGTGTACAATATGTACAGC